ATTCAGAAATCAAGTGATACTCATGGCTGTATGATCTTGCAAGGCATCTAGATCTGACACTGGTGAGGAAGGTTAAAGATGTATGGAAGCACACTTAGTACAAAGCAGTAGCAACAACAAGAATAACACAGCGAAATGCAAAGAGCGTAGTATATTTAAAGTATATCCGGTGTACTTGTGTTGGCCATATAGCAAAGTACAATAATGTCCAAAATCCACAAAGAGTGATACTGTAACTTTATTGGGCCAACCAAAATGCACAGAATACATGATACAAGCTTTTGAAGCTCTACTTTGAGGCTTCTTCATCAGGCAAAAGTGTTAAAAATCATAAAGGAGAAAAGAAAAAAAAAAGTTAAGTCACAAGCATGCATTTTGTTAAGATGCTGATTTTGTTGCTGTTGCTGCTGCTCGTGTCAGTTAACATAGTATGGGGGGATATCCATGCAAGTGGGCCACTCCTCATTCTGGCCATATGGGTTCTGGGAGACAAAGCGTCATAAAGTCCAGGAAATAAAATTTAAATTTTAATAAAATTACTTTAAAACTTAATGTAATTCCACTTAACATCTAATGTTAATGAAACAAAATGTTTTTTTTTAAAGAAAAGAAGGTGGCTATCTCAGTGTTCTCAGTCTTTTGCATTTCCTGATCAGAGAGATAAGAGCAGCTTTATTTTTTTTTAGAGGTCATTTGGATATAATATTGCCATTATGTGTTTCTATTTTGTGTTGTGTGCCTTCAAGTCGTTTCTGACTTATGCCAACTCCATAAGGGGTTTTCTTGATAAGATTTGTTCAGAGGGGCTTTGCCATTGCCATCCTCTGAGAATGAAAGAGTGTGACTTGCCCAAGGTGATCCCAGTGGGTTTCATGGCTAAGCGGGGAATTGAACCCTGGTCTCCAGAGTCATAGTCCAATGCTCAAACCACTGCACCATGCTGGCTCTTATTTCCAAATACAGTACCTCAAATAGTATGGGAAGCCAAACAAGATGTGAAGTTAAATGCAGCCCTATACAGTGGGCCCTTGGTATCCGCTGAGATTTGGTTCCGGGACCCCAAGTAGATACCAAGTAGATGCTCAAGTCCCATTAAATAAAATGGCATAGTAAAATGGTATCCCTTATATCAGTGGTCCCCAACCCCCGGTCCATGGCCCGGTACCGGTCCACAGAACAAATGGTACCGGGCCATGGAGACGTTCTAGGAGTTTCAATGTCAGAGGGCCGGTACCAGTGTGCGGAAGCCTAGAGCGTCACCACACGACGCTCTAGGAATCCCATCTTAGAGGGCTGGCCCTCCTAGAGCAGATGACTAGAGCGTCGCCATGGAGACGTTCTAGGAACCATAATTTCAGAGGGCCTGCAACAGAGATCCAAGCCTAGAGCATCACCACTATACGCTCTAGGAATGCCTCTTAGAGGCCCAGACCGCCTTTATGGAGCCGTTCTAGGCAACAGCTGAACTGCGGCAAGAGTCCTTCCGCTCTCCTGTCCCC